CTGTCATGTTCAAAGGTCCTAATTGCATTCTGCAGCCCTTCCAACAATTCCTTGGAGGACCAGTGGTCCTCTTCTCGGTCCACGAAAAGACACATTCGTAAGGCAGTCCAGACTTTCTGAATATTCTCTATTTTACCTCTGGGTAGTTTAGCGGAGAGGCAACCTTTAAACAGCTTTCTACCTAGCCTCTCCCAAGTATGTAAATTAGGCAATTTTTCCTCAGAAAAACGATGGACAGACATCATTGACTATTTGTAGGAATTTAGTGAGCTGGGCTCTCTTGATCTGTTTTTCCCCTACGATTAATTAACGTCTCTAGGATCATGAAGTAGATTTCTCTCTCTGAAGACTTTGAATTCCCCATGTTATGATTAGTGTCCCCTGTCAAGATTAGCATTCTTTACTCTCCATCTGCAATATGTTTTCTATTTTCTAAGTGCGCTTAACCAAAGTCAACCTGCCAAACTCACAATGAGTGCCTCTCGTTTGGTGCCAATCTGCTGCCCCCGTCCAGCGCAGGCAACTGAACCAAAGTCACTCATGTGAATTTTGGGGTGACACAAAATATCATCCAGACATGGAATACCTTTTTGTAAGCTTCAGGATAGCTTCCCTGGCTCCCGCCCTCAGGCTCCCACAAGGAGAACAAGAGGCTGACATGAGATGCTGACAAGAGAGAGGGAGTGCATGTTCTGGAGTTGACTTTTATTGAGGGCAAGGGGCAGGATTACAAAGGAACAGGTGAGTGTAACTTAACCCCACCAGGAAATGCCTGCTTCTGGAGCCAAGCCTGAGCAGAGGTAAAGCCTACGTTATTGTGGGATGCAATAATTGTTCAGTATCTCTTGCTCAGGACTTAAGCACGTGTGTTCCCAGAGTGGCTCCTGACAATTTCATATGAATGGAACCATGCAAAATGTGGCCTTTTGCATCTGGCTTCTTTTACTTCCTGTTTACTTTCCACCTACATTTGGCAGGGGTGAGGGGGGATAGTACTAGGGATTGAACCCAGGGGTGTTTAACCACTAAGCCACATCCCCAGCCCTTTTTTGTATTTTTAATTTAGAGACAGGGTCTCTCTAAGTTGCTGAGAGCCTCCCTAAGTTATTGAGGCTGGCTTTGAACTCATGATTCTCCTGCCTCAGCCTCTCAAGCCACTGGGATTACAGGTGTATGCCACTGTGCCTGACTCCCCACATTTTTTTATTGGTGCATTATAGTTGTACATGATGATGAGATTTGTTGTTTCATATTTGTACATGCACACAATATAATGATAAAATTTGTCGACTATCACTCCCCAGCACTCTTTCTTCTCCACCTACCTTCTCTTGTTCCTTTCCCTCTATTGGTTTCCCTTTGATTTTTAGGAAATCCACTCCCACCTTTCCTTTCCTTTTCCCTCTCTAGGTTCCACATAGGAGAGAAAATACACTACCTTGACCTTCTAAGTTTGACATATTTCACTTAACATGATGGTCTCTAGTTCCATCCATTTTCCCACAAATGACATAATTTCATGTTTCTTTATGGGTGAATAAAATTCCATTGTGTATATATACCACATTTTCTTTATCCATTCAGCCATTGATAGACACCTAGGCTGGTTCCCTAATTTGGTTGTTGTGAATTGTGCTGCTCTAAACATGGGTATGCATGTATCATTGTAGTTTGATGACTGTAATCCCTCAGGATAAATACTGAGGAGTGATATACGTTGATTATATGGTAATTCCATGCCTAGTCTTTTGAGGAACCTTCATACTGATTCCCATAGTGCTCATACTAATTTACAATCCCACCAACAATGTAAAAGTGTTCCTTTTTATTATTATGTCAAAATAGATTATACTATCATGTATGACTATAAAGTGTTCTTTTTTCTCCACATCCTCCCTTTTACTTTTAAAGTAAAACTCAGATACCATCTCAACTGTAGAATAATGGTACCATTATGATATCTAAAAAAATTAATAGTTCTTAATATTTTTGGGGGGGAGGTACCAGGGGTTGAACCCAGGTGTGCTTAACCACATCCCCAGCTCCCCCTTTTTTTTCTTGGAGACAGGGTCTTGCTAAGTTGCTTAAGGCCTCACTAAGTTACTGAGGCAGACTTCGAATTTGTGATCCCCCTGCCTCATACCCCCCGAGTTGCCGGGATTACAAGTATGCCCCACTGTGCCTGGCTAATAGTTCTTAATATGTTCAAATATGTAACTGGTGTTCAAATTCCCCTTTGATTCAGTTGCATATAACTGATTAAAATATAAGCTCAGGCCCATTTTCCTTATATCCTTATCCCTATAGTGTTCTCATTTTTTTTAGAGGAATAGAGGATAGAACCTTCTTGAGGGTAGCATGAAAATTTGTTTTTAATTAATCATATCCATTATTGTAATGTTTACATATATACCTGATTGTTTTTAGATTAAAATGGATTATTAGTGGATAGTGAAAATGTTTTGTAATGCTGTGTTTCTCAATAATGTGGTCTCTGGACCAGTAGTGTCAGCATCATCTGGGAACTTGTTAGAGATTAAAATTTTCAGTCTCTGCCCTAGATATACTGGGTAAAACTCTGGAGGTGGCTGGCCCAGTAATCTTTTTTTTTTAATACTTACATAATTCTTGTGTAAACTAAGGTTTGAGATTCACTATTATGAAGAAATTCTATTAAGAGTAGTTTGTGTCTATAACCTTTGGCCAACTTGCAATGTAAGTCTCAGACACCCCTGAGACACCCCTGAAATAGGTACCTTACAATTTCTATATTTTCTTTTCAAGAATCCTAGGATCTTTCTTTATTAGTGTTATAAATTCAGGGAGAACATCTACAAAGGAGGAGTGCTTTCTAAAATTTCAAACAAATAAATGAATATATATATATATATATATATATATATATGTGTGTGTGTGTGTGTGTATAACTTTTCTCATTATAATATTTGGTATTGTATGGTTTAGCTCTTTAGTTCTCAATAATTCCTTTTAGAGATATGAATGCAATGCTGTAGTTCTATCATATTATCATATGTCATGTAACTGTCGAAAAGGAAGTAAATTGTAGTTCTAGACCACAACTAGAGAATGATAGGAAACATTTTTCAGTAGTGGTTCTCCAAGGACATTTCTAATTGTCACAGTGACTGGGAAGAGGGTGCTATTGTCTTTTAGTAGGCAGCAGCTAGGGATGCTAAATATGCTGAAATTGCTGGGCTGGGGTTGTGGCTCAGCGGTAGAGCACTCACCTAGCACATGTGAGGCCCTGGGTTTGATCCTCAGCACCACATAAAAATAAAGGTATTGTGTCCAACTACAACTAAAAATTAAATATTAAAAAAATGCTGAAATTGTGAGGGAGTAGGAGGCAGTCCTGAATAGTGAATTGTTTCATCCAAAATGCCAATAGTGCCCTGTAGTAAGACATTTCAGAAGAGGCTGTTCAGTGGTAGAGTACTGGCCCAACTTGTGTGAGGACCTGGGTTCAATCCCCAGAACTTCTAAAAAAATTTTTTTAAAGATATTCTGAGCAATCAATATCATTTCAAATTATTTCAGACACACTTGCCAAGTGCTCTCAAAAACCATAGTTACTCAGCTTTGCAGGTAGCCAGCTGATTGTATGGATGCCAACTATTTGAATAGTCTCCTAATCCTTCCTTCCTTGTTCTGACACTGAACCATCACAGTGGAAGTGGTAGAATCATCATCTCTCAAGCTTGAGACTATATATATGTATGTATGTATATACACACACACATACACACTCGCGTACACACACACACACACACACAAAGTTTTTTTTTTTTTTCTGTTCTTAAACATTGTTGACTACATGGATAGGAGGGTAAAGCTATGCATTCACATTGCAAGTCTTTTCCTAATCTACTTAACAGCAGATTGAAACAAAGTCTGAGAAATGGATAGGTTGAACTAATTATGCCCAGTGTGATTTAAAGAGATTGATTTGGGAAGAATATAAACTACCCAGATCTGCTTTTTACTAAAAGAAGGAAAGATGCCAAAAATTTTGTTATTTTAATATTAGGATTAGATTGAATTTCAGTGGGAAATATATATACATATAGGTACTGGGGGTTAAACCCAGGGTGCTTAACCATTGAGTCACATTTCCAGTTTTGTTTTGTTTTTTAAGAGAGAGTCTAGCTAACTAGCTTAGAGCCTTGCTAAGTTGCTGAGATTGGCTTTGAACTGGTGATCTTTCTGCCTCAGCCTTCTGAGTCTCTGGGATTACAGGTGTATGCTACCATGTCTGGGTCAAGTGAAAATATTTTAACATCTTCAGCTGAAGAATTCAGGCAAAACTGGGTTTTGATTTATGTATTAAGTTTTACTCATTGTTTTGCAATGGTACTGGCATAAGAAATGATTCCCAAAGTCATTTTAATGTTTATCCTTTTAAACCACTTATGATTTGGTTGAGATTAATTAGTCCTCATTATTTTTTTTTCCTGGCTTGCTTTATCATTTTGTTTATTTTCTGATTTTATTCTGAATTTTTCATGTTGCTTTGTCATGAACTCGTTCCCCCAATTTCTAGAAATATCCTATTAGGATCCCTACACATTGGTAATATTATTTAAAATCTATCTAGAACTTAATCCTCCCCACCTCTCATAATTACTAGTAGAGTCTGGTTATTGAGGGTGTTCTATGAATTGATCTTAATGGTTCCTTAGAGGGCTAAGTGTAGTTTTATGATTCATCTCTGTGATTTTTAAAAAAATATTTATTTTTTAGTTTGACACAATACCTTTATTTATTTATTTTTATGTGGTGCTGAGGAACTATCCCAGGGCCTGAGCAAGAACCCCAGCTCTCATCCCTGTGATTTTCTAAAGGGAATTATACATTGGAGTACTGATAGTCCTCATTTTGTATCCTATCAGCTTCTTGCTATATGTTATCTTCTTTTAGCTTGGAAATTGTGAACACTTTCTCTGTTCTGTATCTGAATGTTATGCATTTCTTTATTGCAGAGAGACAACTTTGGGTGGATCCATGGACTCTGTATCTAAACTGATTGAATATGTAGGATGGCTGTCCACTACTGCAATGCGATTGGAGAGTAACAGTACTTTCTTGTTGCACTTCATTTTGGATTTCTATGAGAAGGTAGCACACATTCCATTTTTCCAGTTTAGATTTTGTGATAGCTGTTAAGTGTTCTAGCCCATTATTTAAATTTCATGGACAACCATCAAGGTGTGCTATGAACTTATTAGCATGGTTAAGATAACTGAACATCTTAACGTTGATTATTGTATTTTCATCTGAGTAAATGACTTTCATAAAATAAAGTATAAAAACAAATGTGTTTTATTTTTGATCTAGTTACCTACCACTTTAATATACACTGACCTATAATAATACTGGCCTTAGACAGAAGTCTGTTTCTAGCATCACTTTTTGTTTATCCACTGTATATCACCAACCTCTTGCAAAAACCAAGATATCATTTTGTTTTTTCAGATCTCCTACCTTTCAACCACCTATATTATTCTGGTACTTAGTGCCTTTATGATACTAGTACTCTTAATGGTTTTATAGTATTTAGATAGAACTAAATACTATAGAACTATTACCATGAAGCACCCATTATAATCTCACATTTCTGGCTTTCTTCCTTCATTAATACCTCATTGTCTTGTATTATGTGTTTGCTTAGAAGCATGCTTTCCTTCATTTTCCAGGTCAACCGCTGACTAATATGATAAATAAGTATTCATGGGACTTAAGGAGAAAGAAATGCTCCTTTGTCTACCCTGTTCCCAAACTCAAAGACTTCCCCCCAGAAAAAAATTAAATCCTTTAATAATGATGTTCTAGAAATAATTTTCCATTGCAAGGTTGATATTTGATGAAGTTTATTTTCAGCAGACTTATGGCTACCTATTCTGTTTAGGAATCAGGCATGTCTAAACCTGATGTTTTTATTATTTATTTTGATAATTCTTTGGAACAACTTGGCTGATTTCTGGCAAATAATCTATGTGCTGATGTTATCATTTTCCCCAAAAGGTATGTGACATATATGTAAATTATAACCTTCCATTAGTGGTATTATTTCCTCCTGGGATCTTCCACTCTGCACTCCTCAGCCTGGATACCAGTATATTGAACCAGCTCTGTTATATTATGCACAGGTACAAGCCTTTTTACCATTTAATGCTTACTACATCATAATTTTGTCTTATCTTTCAAGTATAACACAATAAGTATTCCTATTCATTTTCTGCCAAGGCGTGCAAAATAGGAAACATGACTTTCTTTTGGATACAAAATTCCAATATGGGGATAAGATAGCTGTGTTTTCTGTAAATCCCCCATTACAAGGGATATGGAATTTTTTTTAAAAAAATCATAGTTAAGGATGTGTTGTACAAGGTATAGTTGCACTCAGCTTTGTTAATTCCAATTTTTGTGTTGGTAACTGATTTAAGTATATGTAGATTTTCTGGGAGCCAAGAGGAGCTATTGCTATTATGTGAAACTCTTAAGTATTATTTCTTTTCTGTGGGGATTACCAGGGATTGAACTCAGAGGCATTCAACCACTGAGCCACATTCCTAGCCCTGTTTTGTATTTTATTTAGAGACAGGGTCTCACTGAGTTGCTTAGCACCTTGATGTTGCTGAG